GAATAAGGTCAATTTAACCGGTTGTTGAATGAATTATCTTAAAAATGGCACGCCATTACCTTCGATCTAAGGAATTTGAACGAAGAGTAGAGAAATTCTTTCGGAGAGAGAGGAAGCAAACGTTTGCCGAATATTTTTTATTAATTTTTATTTTATTTTTTAATAATTTCACAATGCACTATTTTTTTATTTAATAATATTGTTTGATACACCAAAAATTGATACAATAACTTTAGTATTAAGACAAAATATAATATAATATAAAAAGTAAAATATAATATAGATATAAGAATAAGATATAAGAAAACTATAATATAAAATCGGCTGAGTAAGGCAGGAATTACCGCTACAGTAAAATTAATATATGAAATAAATGTGATGACGTGTTTGTGTATATGCATGTTATTTTTTCTTCCTAATAAACAATTATATATATATATATATAATTTAATATTATATTTATTTATATTTATTATATATATATATATAATTTAATCTATCGAAGAGTTTTAGTTTATATATTTTCATGAAGATAATTTTGGAATTCATTAATCAAATAAATGGCTGCCTCTGATGTAGATGATACGTATTCCAAGCGAAACAAAATGTGTAATGTAAAAACGTGCGTAAAAAAATAATTATAAAAAAGAAGACACCACAATTCGGCATTTATGGTATGTAGAATACGCACATATATCTTGTACATATATCTCGTATAATCAGTACGTGATTACCTCTGAGGCAATTATCGTCGTAATTTTAGAATCAAGGAAACTGAGCTAATGATATCCGATGATATGTCATGTCTATTTTAGATACTGCCTATTAATTCGATATCTCGTCAGACATTTTATTTACATCTTCTTCAGCAGATAAGACTACAGATATATGTGCGAGTTTCGCAATCTTTCGCAGAATTTTTGTATCCCGAAATGATTGTGCGACAACAAACCATCGTCGACGCTACCGAAAAATTTTCGCATATGACATACGAAATATACAAAAAAATTAAGACAAAATGGTTTTGTCTAATATTTAATTCCTTAATAAATTATTAATTTTACTTTCTATAGTAGATTGTTTCAAGTTTTGTTAAATCTTGAAATATCACATAATAAAAATTAAATAATTAACTATAGAACAAAAGGAAAAAAAAATAAATCTGGAATAAATTTAACAAGCATAGAATTCTCGATAAATTTGACAAGCATAAAACAAGATGAATATTTCGTAGATCATATGATTTTTAATAAATTTAATTTTTGATAGATTTTTTTCAGACACTTCAATGTATATAAAAACATAGGAAGAAGGGAAAGAGAAAGACAAATCGGTTACTAACTCGATCAATTGTTTGGATATAAATAAATCGATGATAAATCAGTAGTTTAGATTTAAATTTATCGGGCAGTTTCGCTGCATTAATGACGGATTAATTATATATGATGATTTTCTCAGAAGTGTACACATTATGAAACACATACTATGTGATTATTACATTGCGACAGATAGATAAAAGGTATGTAATGCTTAGTTTTCAGTTTCATTATGAATTGTAAGAAATATACTGCCGTTTGTATGTGTATGTAATTCGGCTCACGCGTGATTTTTATAAAAATTTTTTCTTTATGGCACAAAAGCCATAATTAAAGCTATAAAGATTTGCTGAAATGCGATTTATGTCAGATATTAAAATGAAATTTCATACTGTAATAAATATCTAGAGTTCTTTCATTCACACGAATCAGTTTCATAATCCCGAACTTTTCACTTTCATAAATGTCTGATCGCATACCTAGATTTCTTAGTCCTTAGATTCTTACTTTTGCCTAAGGGAATCTTTTCGGAGTAGTATATTAGTTACATAAATATTTAAATCTTTATGTATTCCGTTTTTCATAGAAACTCTCTCATAAGTTTTTATTTTATTAAAAATTTTTCATCTTTATATATTTTTTTAAAAATTTTCGGGCTTTATATACTTATGCTTCATACATGAAGCTCCAAATAATATATAAAATGTCCTCATTGTATACACAGCAATATCAATTATGTACGTATTAGCCGAAATTATGATATGTATTAGTCAATTATCCTCAATAAATTGATTGTCAGTGCGTGATATCGCGCTCGACAAAAAATCGTAATCTTGCAAAATTGCCGTTCGTTCTTTCGATGTTCTCTTATTATGCCATGCCGACGATTATAAACATAAAGCGTTAACGATTATCCGTTTAACTCACTGACAGCTGACATTAGCACACGAATTCCCGCGCGTTGCTTTTGATACTCCCGGTTCTCTCTGCGCTCACCTTTCTACCAGTGATAGGATTCTGTATAACATGTATAGGGTGCTTCAAATGGAAGTAAAATTTATTTTTGTCATCTCGATAGATACAAAATTTAATTTTTTCATAACAAATTAATACAAATTAATCATCATATCACTTTTTCTCTTCTTACTTTTCATTATACTTTTTTCTTGTCTATAAAAGTAAGATAACGGAAAATATTAAGAAAATAAAAATTGTTAATATTAAAGGGTGATTTCTCATTGATTCTAATTCAAAAAATAGAAATTTGTACATGGCAGTTTTCTAATAAATTTTGTCTTTATATATTATGTTTTTGTTCTTCCTTTATAGTACTGTAACTAAATCAATATATGAATCGTCCTGTATTTGAATTAGAATGCCAGCTATATTTCTGTATGTTATGCTATAATTTATTTTAACGTCAGATAAACTGAGATCTCTTCAACTTATTTGTCTGCAATTTCTAAAAAAGTATCAAAACAAGTATTGGTATTAAATTAAACAATCCGAAATAAATTTTAATTTTTTATATTTTCAACCTGTGTGTGTATGATAATTCACTTAATCTTTGATACATTTTATAATTATCGGACGTGTGTCTTTATATTTCAAAACATTTTTAAAAAATTACCAAAAATTATATATTTGAAATATATAATATTTTTATAAATAATAAAATTTTTTGAAAATTCTTATAGTAACCACTTTAAAATTATTTTTTAATATTATTTTAAATATATTATTTTAAATATATTATTTCAAATACATTTAGCATAATATAGCAACGAAAATAATTAGAAAAGTGAAAACAAACATGCATTTGTTTTTAAAGTCGTTTATTATTAATTTATAAAATTATCTAATGATTTAATAAAAATTAATAAAAACGGAGACGTAAATAGAAATAGATAGAATGGAATGATTCAGAAATAGTATATTCAAATATTTGATCGCACAATTTTATCAAACAAAAAAGGAAAAATAATTATTTCAGTTATTTATTGATTACTTTAAAGAAAAATTTATATTTGAAATACATTTTTCTCTTACTCGCAAAATCAACTATATATTTCAAACAACATACAAGTATACATGTGCACATAAATTCTTATTTTATGTTAACCATATATAGTCGAGTAAAAGATAGCTCAATGTTTTTGTTGTTTATCAATGTCACACCAAAACATATACGTATAAAAATACTGGATGTATATACATACACAGGACAAACGCAGGTGATTCCAAAAGAAAGAGAGAAAGGAGGGGGAATAATATAGCGAGACATGGGAGGAGTTCTCTGTGAGTACGCTCTCCGTCTCTCCAAAGAGACCACTCTCGCAGTGGCAGAGGTGGTCTCTGCTCACCTGAGCGTTTCAGGTGGCAGTCGCCCTGCTGAATCGTTCAGCGACGGGTTCTCTTCGTGTAAGCGCCGCGAGCGCGATTCGCCAGAGAGATTCGCACGAGACTCACGACGAAATAGCGGAAACTTAAGAGAGAACGCGCGAGATTGATATGTCAAGCGAATTCGCGAGCATACTCGCGATGAGGCCCGAGAATCGCGGGTTTTGACAATTTCCCGGATTCTCTTTCAAATCGAAATAAAGCAACCATCGCGATATATCTGTCTCTATAAATGCAATCCCGAAGATAAAACGTTTCATTCAGATCTTGTCTAAAAAAAAAAGATGAAGACATACCTGTCAGAATTTATTTCAATAAAATAAAAACTGATCAATTAATAAGATTTAATGAGATATTGTGAGATTGTTGGACTGTTTTAACCACGAGAATTAATTATTAAATCAAACTAATTTAATCAGAAAAACATTTACATTGTGAAACAATTGTTGCGATATTAATTTTGTTGAATGGGAAGCAGAAAGCATTTCCGGTGCAATTGATTTAATAATTATTTATTTTAATTAAGCAGAAGAAATTTCACGGCTTGTTATTTTTTCTCATTCAGAAACATTTCTAAGATCGCTCGATTAATATTTTCATGATTTGCAAAATACTTTGTTTTAAACAATAAAAATGTGGCGTCCACAATACATGAAAATATAATAAAGTAAATCAAACAATGACATTTTAATTGATGACAATTGCCATATTAATAAATAAGAGAGAAATTCAAAGGATCTCTACTCATCTTGAAGAAAGTGAACGTTCTCTGTGATCTCGGGATCCGATGATCGAAGAGCTGCTCAGCGAGAAGAAGTTGATGGCTGACGTTTATTAAGGGTCAAGATATTTCTGACGGCAGATCGATCGATAAATAAACGTTCCGTTCAAACGACGTGTAAATTTATCGTGAAATCGACTCGTCCAACTGTATTCGGAACACATTATCATTATTTATTACATGACAAAGCTGTTAAAGGTGATCGATTGCGGAAAGGAAAACTTAAGTCTCGAAGTTTACAAGATTACGGAGTATTGTGTTTATTTATATTCGATTAACGCTCCTTGCTATAGAAGAATCAGCGAGGGATACACAAGATAAAGACATGCACGTGTTAATCAAGAACTAATTGTGCTTGTGAAATGCTAACGACGTTATTTAGATAGAGACACAATAGTGTATATAATTTAAATTAAAAAAAGTATATATAAATTAATTATTTAATTATTTCGTAAAAATTGAAGTTCTGAAAATTTTTCAAATTTCTCGTAATATAATAAAATAGAATTTAATAGAAAAGGAAATCGGAGGAAAGAGAATCAGTGTTGTATTTACAAGAAACATTCTTGAATTTCTACGAATTCGATCCCTAATCTTTCGATCTCGATGGTAGATAGCAAACGTGTCATAAGGCAAAGATTAATTAATGTGCACAAGATCGAACGGAATGATTTATGATTTTCTAATCCGATCGGGCCAACCTGCGAGCTGATTTTAACGGTGAGAGAATGTGAAGTAAAACGAGAGCGGTCGAAAATAAACGCGGTCGATCATAAATCTCGCGGCGACGATGTGACAGCGAATACCAACACCGTTATCGCTGACAAATGTCAATGATCACATGGCCATAATTCAACGCCACACGACAGAGTCAACAAGTATCATCATTTGTAAATGTGATCGATTGATCGCACACTTCTTGAATTCGCGGGAACGAGCGATCTTCAACGAGAGATCTTCTTTCGTAAAAATTTTATTAATAATAATAATTAAATATTGCACCGCTATAAATTCGCGGCAAGAAAAATGGTGTTTACGATTGTGAATGATTACACTTGATTGAGAAAAAGATAAAAGCCGGTTTTCGCTCGAATTTACACGAGTGAAGAGTAACACACGTTCGTAAGAATTTTACAAGTTTCTCCAAAGGAAAATAAATTTATGGGAAAGCTGATAGAAGTGCGATAGAATGAATAAAGACGATCCGTTAGGAACTTTCTAAAAATTTTGAAAGTTTTACAAAAATATCGTTTCCAAACGCCGCAAAATTGCAAGTGAACTTCGATTAAAGACTTTCATCAAGAAATGCGTATTGCCGCGAGCGATCATTGATCACACCGGATAAAGCATGATGGGAGAGGTGATCCGTGTTTCTGGTAGGCCACCGGACGTCGGGGACATCTTAAAGGAGGCTATGCTGTCGCAGAGATTCGCCGATGTAGCCTTGTGTTGTCCAGGAGGCCAGAGATTCCTCGCGCATCGTCTGGTGTTATCAGCAGCGAGTCCTTATCTCCAGGTTAGTAAAAAGTAGGCTAACTCGTCATTAAACTATTTATTTTGCAGAAATAACACAAGTCGATTTAAACGAATGAAAAAGAGAGGGAGAGAAAGAGAAAATTACTGTAAAATTATTTACTAAATTACTTTGAGATATGATAAATGCTACGTTTCATATTAAAATAATTAAACTAATTTAAGATTTCTAAATGAAATTGATTCTGAATTATGACTTCTTCTCTCTTTGTATTATCTATTTATTCAATTATATATATATATATATATATATATATATATATAATTAAATATATAATATTATTAATTATATAATAATAATATTAATAATAATTATAGTATTAATTATAATTAATATTATAAATTATAATATTATTAGATATATATATATATATATATATATATATATATATATATATAGTGACATATAATCTTATCAATAATTTAAAAAAAATTATGCTCGTATTAATTAATATTATCGGGTTAAACATTTTGAAATATATGATTATCTGGAAATAATGGAGAGCGCGAACTGTGAGAAAGCAATTACATCGGATTTGCAGGCGATCTATGAAAATTCTTACAACATTTCGAGTATTTCGCAGTCGAGAGAGAAGCTCTTATAATACTGTTAATTATCCTCGGTTATAATAAAAGGCGCAATAAAGGAGAACGTGGCTCGCGTTGCCGTTTAATTAGCGGGTTAGTTACCGCCGTAAAAACCGACGGAGTTGTTAATCTTGCACTTGAATGCAGGTACATTTCGCGGCGGATGTTCGCTTATGCTGTATTTGCTCGCCATAACCGCGCGTATATAAGACGATTGTATGCGGGCGCTGACGAGCATTTAATGCACCGAATTATATCACACGGAAATAGAGATATTGCGAGCGACCGCTCAATTCTTGTAGTTTCTTAAAATTGCACCGATTAACGTTACAATGTACGATGTTTATGACCTCGAGTCGAGTTGCGCGATCGTTAAGTTATTGCGTCATTAGATCGGAACATGAGCAAAATATTAACGAGACAGGTGACGTAAATTTTTGCAACGGGGTGCTTATTCGATTTTCCTTTTATCCCTCAATCGCGTATTTTTCGCGAGAGAGAGAAGGAGACACAGAGAGGCAAATGTTTTCAAAAATCAGTTTGACATTGAGACAATAACGCGAAGTTTTTGTGTCATTTAAAAGAGAATGCAATTGCAAAGAATCTGGAAAATTAAATTTGTTTAAAAACAAAGTTCCTATTATTCGTCTAAATTCCTCCTAAATTAACTTCTTCAGACTCTTTACTTTTCAATGTTATGCAGTTATGGAACAATAATTTGTTATTATGATGTCTTTTGATATGCTCTTTTCTTTCGATAATTTCTTACGTATTTAAACATTATGGGTTTTTTTTACGCTTCATTATTTTTGCCACCGTAAAATATTTGTAAAGCGCAGTTTTACGTGAGTAGAATCTCGTTGCGAAAGGAAAACCGAGGAAACAAATTCCGATGCACTCAAGCAATTACAAAGTAATGTCGCGCGTCAACCACGTGAAAATTCTCAATTATGCATCGCTGCCACGAATTCGTGCCACGAATTGCGCTTTCTACATTCTAGCAATCGGAGTTCAAAAGAAAAATTTCTCGTATTTCTCTAGGATATTGAAATTCGTTGAAGGTAAGCCTCTATTACCTTCTTATTATTGGAAATATATTGAATTGTGCAATATACTTTGCTCAATTTCTGCATTATACTCATATTTTGAGCGCGGTCGTTCTTATAAATATCAATAATGCCGATAATCAAAAGTAAAGCGTCATTATACGATCGTATACTGCTTTGGAAATAACACACACGCACGGTTATTCCTGTCTTATGCTTAAAAAAAAAGACGATGTCTGTGAAATCCGTTTTCTTATTGCAACACAAATATGGTAGCCTTAACTTCAACGTCGATAGATTCCCGGACCTTTGATTCTGTAAATCTCGCACGACGCATTTCTGCGATACTAGGCAACCTTTTTGCGGTTCTTGAAACGTATGCGGGACGATCCGTTGCGTCTTTCCGGTACTGCCATTCGCGGATTCCCGAGGCATCTCGATTTATTGCCACTTGACCCAGTTGACCTGTTTCCTCCACAGATTCTTACTATTTGTATACATTCCTCCACGTGCATCGCACGAAGAGAGGAAGAAATAATTAAATTATTCCGTAAAGAAGACGTGGAAGGAATAATAGCGCGAAATAATTTCAAAATTTTACTATGTATCAAAATTTTTGTTTGAAAGCCAAGATTTTTTAAAATTATTAGATTTTATAAAATTATTAATCATAATCGGATGTAAATAGATTCTAATTATATCTTTAAAAATGTAGTCTTTGAAATAAGAGATAATTGATAAAAAAAAACAAAATATATATTTTTTATGTTTTACTTCAATTTTACAAAAATTGTGTAAAGTATAGTGATATTTTTTACGTACTCTTTTACATATATTTTATTAATTAAACTACATTTGTTCCCTAAAATTTCTAATTATTTAAAAAAGAATATAATTTCCTTTATATTAGAAATTATTTGAAAATAAATTTATTTATTTTCTTTCTCAAACGCAAAATATTACATTGCTCAGGAAAGATAGAAAATATTTCAAAATCTCAAAAGAATTAAAGCGTATATGTAGAAAAATTTCTAACTGTTTATCCCTCGAAGTCGGCCTTATATTGACGCACGTTACGCGCTATTAGTTCGTTAATGAGAATCGTAAAGAATTTACATCCGTTTGTAACAGTTTGCCCTAATAATATTTTTGCGTAGTGAACTAATTTACTTTGAATAAACATCACGAAAAAAATGGAGAAAAAATAGAGTACGCGTTGTTAGAAAGGTCTATGATTCAGTCGTGCGATCTCGTAATGAGTTTCTCATTATGAAATAAATCACGTGATTTGCGAATGTCATTTTTACGTCATTTGTGGAACTAGGATAAAAATTCACATGTTAGTCTAATTAATGTAAGTAATCTGATACGTATATAATTGTGAGTATGCATTCGCACATATATAAATATATGTAGGCATATATCTACTTTTATTTAAAATTGGAGTTAAGATATTCAAAAAATAAAAAAAACATTTTTTTGTGATCTAAATGTAACAAGAGATTATAAAATCACGAATAATATTATGATGAATGCTGATTCGTCATTAAATTCGTCTTGAAATATGTTGCGTGATTTGTGTGAACTTGATTGCGCATTGCCACCTTTTTTACATTTCACTTTTACATCTCGACGACCGTGGAAAATCATGTGTATTCCAATTAGCGCAACTGATATTATTAGCAAACCAAGTTAATTCTTACAATTGCACAAACAATGAATGAGAAAGTATATACCGTTAGAGCGAAGATTCTCAATACATTGTTTTTAAGAGTAAGGAATTTTATTAAATTATAAATATCGTAATACATATTATATAATACATAAATATATCGAAGGATTTTAAAAGATTTCAAATAGTAATTTTATATGATCATTATCTTTATAATCTTTTTTTTAATATTAACGATGCTATGAATTTTTTTTTATTCTTAATTATATTGGATATTTTTTATTTATCCGTTAATTCGACAATCATCTTGTTCTACAAATAATCGCTATCCGAATAAATTTTTATAATTCAAACTCTTTTACCGCTGAAAAAATCTGATAACGACCGATATTTATACATTATCTAATAATAAAAATAATAGATGAAGATACACTATCAGTTTAAAATATTCTTAAACATATCAATATCATATCATATTAAAAAAAATTATTTATAATAATACTATGTTTTGCCTCAAGATGTGTATATCGAGAAAGAGAGAGAGTAATTACTGGTTATAATTAAACAATTGAATTATAGCTAATTATTTTACAATTTTTAAGCTATCTAAGTGAAAGTTTAATAACGTGAAAATATAAATCCTATAAAAACTTTATTTTCATACATAAATTATCTTATATGTATAAATTTATTTATATTGTACTTTTATAGCTTAGATTTCACCGTAATAAACAATTCTCTTTAACTTAGGCAGGATACTCAAAAGAGTGATAAATAATGGCAGTTCTTTTATTAAGAAATAAAATTGTAAAAAATGTAATTAATAAAATAACAAACGGTAACAATATTATGTATATATATATATATATTTTTTTTTTTATTTATTTATTTGAAAAAATATTTGTCTTGCCATTATTAATTAAAAAAAAGATATACTTTGTTGTACACACATATCAACAGACGTACCAGTTGTGCAAACGTACAGTGTGTAAGGATTCAACGGTTTATTTTCAGAAGACTGTAATAGAAACAAAAAGCTTTTAAACGTCGCGTGATGAGAAATTATGGCTTTCTGCAGAGAACAAATTATGGTATGTTCGTGTAACTTTTTGTACGCGCCGCATGAGAGCAAGTGTTTCTCATAGTCAGGCCCATCATTAGAGAGGCCGGCGCAGCACGAGATCACGTATTCATTGCTTAATTAAGATTATCATAACTTGAAAGGAAGCGACGAACCGATATTTCACGTCAGTGTATATTGCATACGTTAATCGAGAGATACAAAGTCGGCACGTGTATCAAATAATGTTCTTCCGCCGCGCGCATTATCTTTTTGTTGATAAGATAAATTATACGTACATTATATGCGATGTTTATTTCAATTTTAGAAAAGCTTAAAAAATTTAAATATACATTTTGATATTTTGCGAGAAAGTAACATTACATATCAGTAACATTACATATCAGTAAAAGTTATATATCACATAAAATAATATCCAAATAATTAAGATGTAAAGACATATGAGACAAAATTACTTATCAAATTAAATCATATATCTATTAACGAGATCGTACATCAAAATAATCAGAAACCGAAGGATGACTGAAAATATGTATATCACTCGTCCTGGAATTTTGCCGTTAACATATATTGTACACAAAAATATCGACGATCCG